CCAAAAGAAAAGCTTTAGTTCTCTAATGGTGGGAAGTAAATCATTTTGCCCAAACAGAGATGTTTCTCAGTTTGTTTTTGAGAAATATGTAAGTCTAGGTTCAGGTAAAACATATTTTTTTTTTTGAACAGAGCATTGAATAGTTGGAGGCACTACCAGGTTTTATTTCTGTGGCTCTACTGGGTAGATTTCCTCTCACTTCTGACAGCAAGTGATGGGACATCTCTCCAAAGAGGGTGGGCATAACATAAACACATTTTGGGCAAGGGTTAAAACTACTGACTTTTTTATTACTGTCCATGCCTTCTTGTCCTGCTAAGAACTGCACCTATGTAGTGTACAGGCCTCACAATGACAGGAGGTAAGGAAAATCTCTGGAATGGCATCACAGACAGAGATAAGAACTTGCACTTCATATGTATATTTAGCTGTTTGCCTGGAATTCAGCTGTAGCTCTTCCCCACTGTATCTATAAATAAAAGTAAAAGATTTGGCTTAAAAAGTTAGACTTCAATCTTGTCTCTTTTGACTGAATGGCTTAGTGATGTATACCATAGCATACAGTATACTGCTCATAAATCTTAAACTGAACAGTTATATAAATGTATTAATGGAATATGGACTAATGTAGATGGCAATTGTTTTCCTGTGTTTGATGTGTGTGTTTAAAACCCACATCAATCACAGCTCATAACATTTCCATCTCCTTTAAAAGTGATGACTGTTTTGAAGCTGCAGTTGTCCTGCATTGTGTTGCATTTCTTTGGGTGTATCATGTCCCATTGAAAAGCATTTGCATGGCAGACAAAGCAGTTTAAAAGCCTTTTGTTGTGTTTTGCAATCAAGCACATGAATTTCGGCAGTTCAAATGCAAAAAGAAGCCTTTGACAACAACACTAATCTAGGCTAGTCCTTACTTTTGGAAGGGTGTCAATTTCTTCTCTATAATGGCTGCATTAATGAGAAAACTTAAATTAACTATCTTGGCTCTATAAATGGCAATATCTAACTTCTCTGCATTTTCTATGTGCTAAATTCCATGATGTCTTTTCACTCCTCTGGTCTTTAAAGCAATGTTTCACTTTCTTGTTCACCTCCACACACTCTGCCCTCTTCACAAACTACCTTTTTAGTTTTATTCTTTTACGTTGTTCTTGTTCACTGGCTTAACTTTCTTGCTGTCACCTTGTTTTACAGCATTAATCTCTGTTTCCTGTACTTCCACTTGACTCAGCTAAAAAAGAGTGCAGGAGCTTGTACCCTCCATGGCTGTTAACCTCACTACTTCTTTTTACCGCTCATGCTTGCACATGCCCTCCAAACTCAGAGAGGTTGTCTGGGAGCCTGGACTCCACTTTGCCTGCATTTTGTAATGTGAGGTGAATGTACTTGTTGACATGAGAACATGATCTATTCTAGGTGTGAGAGGAAGCAGCTATAGGTAAGCATTGAAGCAGTGGATAATGTTTCAAGAAACATGTCAGGAAAAGTTAACATAACACATATACACATGTACAAGAGTGGCATAGTACCTGTGTACATATTTATTGATGGTAAAACATAAACATCCTTTTGAATCTTTGCAAGAGACATAAAGGCTAATATAACCTCAATAGAGGTAATTTATTAATGGTTTAATGGTTTATGGTTTATTAATGGTTTATGGTCTATGATAATTGAGTTTTACCATGAAAGTCCCTCTTCTTTCTCACATTTGTTGTCTTGCTTACCCTCAAATTGGGTAGCTGTTACTGGGATATATTAAGGGACAACCTGCATTCTAAGGGTTACAACAGCCAACTTCCTAATGGGATTTGCTGTGCATAATGAATTCTGTATACGCCT